TATGTAGACTTTCTAAAAACCTTTTAAGGGACAAAATCACTGAATATGTTGGTACGACTAAAATTGAAACTATAACGCAAAAAATATCACTATTTACGTAATCGAAATCTCGGAATTGACTGCACCGATTTTATTCGGACTGGTTAGACAGCTCGGAATCGACAGCTTATATCGACATTATGTCAGAAAAATGCCCTTAAATTATCAGAAAGCTGGTTAAGTTTCAGAGATATTTTACTCAAAAGCTTGACGAAAAGTTCCAGACGCACTTGGTATACATAGCACCTTGAAATTTATGCATTGACGTAGTTAGTTGTTCTTCCTGTTGAATTGACATTGCTTGACAATAGACAATGATTTTACATATGCATCAGATATATCAAAGTTTAGCGGATGTTATTCCTATTGTGAATGCGTAAATGCATGAATACATTATGCAAAGTAAATATGACGATATGTAAAATTAAAATCAATACTCATTTATACATATATTGCACGTGTAAATTATGTATACGTGTCTAAATAAAATTTGATTTTTTATTATTTCTTATTACACATGCGTGTAATAAATATATAATATAAGAATTAATTTTGTCTCTTATAAAAAAAAATTTGAATAAGGATATTCCAATGAGTTAGGTCAGTACACAATGGCATGCGCAGAATACGATGCAAAATAATTATATAATATATTTTTATTAAAATAAATGGATAAGTAATTAAGAACTCGATAATGAAATTAACAAGTAGCAAGTAAAAAGGTTTGGGAATGCAACACGGTTAACAGTGCGTAAGTTAACGTTATATCAACCTTTAATAACTAATAAGATACATAATTATAATATATCGGACGTTTTAGTTCTGTTTTGAGTTGTCTTCGACAATGTGCTAACAGTCAAAATTAAAGAATGATCAGCAGTGAAACTTTCCACAAAAAAATTTAAATGAAACTTGATTAATAATCATAGTTTGTGATATGATCGAAACAGAAATAACAGTCAGGACAAAGAGAAGTAAAGTCACGCACTCACCAGAGTTCAGAAAACGCGAGAATAAAAACGTATATTCGTAACTTCGTACCTTCGAATTAGTTTTAAAGTTTAGTTTATTCCATTTAGGCTATAACTTATGCACTAACTTATGCTATAACGGAAGCATCAGCCATTCAAATATATTTACAATTTTAATCGGCTTCATCATTATCATGTATGTAGAAGTAGAAGATACATATAACACAGAAACAATAAATAGAGGATCGGAGATCGGAGATATGATTTAGTTTCGACTTCACTCTTGAGTGTTTCAATTGCCACGGTGCTTCCACGTCCTATTGGTACGTATATGTAATATTAAATTGTATTTGATTATTTTCTTTATTTTACATTTATGTTTGTTTTCTCAAAAAATAAATAATGACATTTTGTTGTAGAATTTGTCTGTTTCAAAAAAATAAAGATACTATGAATCGACCTAACTCGTATATCAGCGTCGATGCTAAAGAAGAAATCGTAATCTCTGGTATTGCTGGCCGATTTCCTAATAGCGACAATTTAAAAGAATTTCAAGAAAATCTTTTTAACAAGGCGGATCTTGGTTCGAGCGATCATGGACGATGGAATGATTGTAATAATTTTTTTTTAACATTAAGGAGGTTGATTGTTCAAATCAATATGATAAGAATTAGTTCAAATTTATGGAGGATATTTGTCTATATGGGAATCTGTCGTCCATGCCAAAGTTGAAGACAATTGTCTGCATGGTTGTCGAGTAATTAATTATTGCAGATAAACTCTTATCTCTCTCTTATACACGGGCGACATAGCAAAAATGTTACGACCCCTGTGATATAACTCTCGAAAGCCTATTAAAAATGACAAGACTATAATGAGATTAGATTCAAATAATTCTTTACATATTTAGGAAAGACTTTTACGAAGACTGATAGTTAATTATCAAGAAATTGAAAAAATAAAACAGCATATTGCTACATTTTAACGTATTTTGATTTTAATTGTACAAATAACGATTTAAAACCTTAAGAAACAGCTAATTAAATGCATTCCATATATAATGTTTATTTACTAAAACTCGTTTATTTCACGCGTCGAAAAATTTGATTCTTATAGAGTTGGCAATCGTCCCCTCTCACCGCCTGCCCCGCAATGTGACAACAACCAATCTCCTTAAGATATATTTTCAAAACTTATTAGAAAAAATATTCGTTTTATATTATCGTATATATTAATCGTAATTAAAAATTTGCAATATCTTCACCAATAATTTTTAAAAACGATATCAGAATTCAAGAATATTGAGTAACCTTACATATACGTACACAATATATACATATGTAACGAAAACAATCTTCGTAATTTATATCGAAAATTATAAATTATTTTTCATGAATTCAAACATTTTCATGGCTTTGTTATTTCTAATATTATAATTGAAAACGATCCAGATGCATATTATAAATTCTTAAAAACATTATTATTTTTTATGTTGAAATAAGTATCAAGAGACACGGTAGTGTTTCGTGTCAAGTACACGCGGAGCGAGACCGACCGTGACTCTTTTACGCGACGCGACGGGTTGCGAGTACCCGAGATGTTGAGATCTCGATAACGAGTGAACGAATCAAGTTCTAAGTAGGCTTGATCGATAGCTACCCAGGTAGCAGACAGTCGTCATAATGACGTGATTCTAACGTCATATTATGACGTATGTTACGTCATTTATTCCTAAAGTTTAAC